TGCAACACATCGCCCATCAATGTGTCATACTTGAGCTCGATGTGTCGAATGTAAGGTGTGTCATACTGCCGATTCTGTTCTATCCCGGCATCGAGCCGAGAGCCCCAAAGAAACATGTACTTGGGCTTGGGGGCCACTGCTTTGCCTGGCAGTACGAGTCCTTGGAGGGCCGCTGCGCGGCCTTCCCTGCGGGTATATTTTTCATCAGTGAGACCAATACTTGTGGTGTTGCACGCCGGCTTGCGAAGGCAGCTTTGGTGCCATTTCATTGGATAATCTTCGACTGAATTTTACTTCTGACTGAGCAACGAGCATAAGCAGAAAAGGGATTCCCTGGGGACGGCTGTAGGAGGATTGCATGGAATATGCACAGTTTAAAAGCTCGCCTGGCTGTGAGGTTCCAATAATCTGAGAAGTGGGGACCCCGCGCAAGTCTTCCAGAAACCAAAAGTTCACACAACATTCAGCGGGTGAGGTGTTGGATTCCAGAAAACTCAAGAAACTACCTACCACTGTCTACTTATATACTGTTCTACATGCCCATTTAACTACACTGCCTCCACAGAAGTACAAGCTGAAAACTATGTATTGAACAACGGCCGCAGCGGCCCCAGTGAAGCCGCAGCGATCCGGAGTGATCGCAGCGAAGCCGCAGTGATCGCGGTCCGGTAACGTCCGGAGCCGCGATGCCGATGCAGGCCGCGCGTACATCCCTTACACTGACCTACCGTCGGCTCCGCCTCACCAGAATTTGATTTAGCCACACCAAGCACTGAGTCATCAGAAATCGTTGCGTCTAATTGTGAGTTGGTCACTGTGTTTGTGTCCAATCATGTCGTGCCGCCCGTTGCCGTTGTGACAGTTCGACGGCACCCCTTTGACGGGTGGTGTGCCCGTTAGGGCTTCAACCGTTTCCGTTTTCTTCCATTTATTTACCGTTTAACCGTTTAAATTTACCATTTAGTTTAAACTTTACGGATAGGTGCAAACGGTAAGTAAACGGTAAATAAACGGTAAACGGTTGTCGGCAGCCAGGTAATTTTCAGAGTGATATAGGGCAGTTCTCACAATCATGTGGGTATTGGGAGGTTCAATTCTGCCAGTATTCAACCACTGCCCGTTCCGTCCAGGATTTTGCACCCAAAAACGGCCCATTGAAAGACGGGCCGCAACGGTAAGCCGACGGGTGTATCATGACATTTTGGCTTCAAATCTGGTTCCAAGTGGTCCATGGGCCCGCAGCTTCAACTCATTGTGAGTATTTCTTAAACTGTATGTAGGAGAGTTGTACTGAGCCCTGCCGGGATTACCATACCTTCATTCCGCTTTAGGAAAGACCAAATATTTCGATTGAAAAAATTGTTTAGTGCACCAGACAGGTCAATAGTAATCAAAAGAGCAGTAAGTATCCCAATGGGTGTTACAGTACCATAATAGATTGAAGAACTGACCTTCAAACAGAACACCCAAATAATATTCAACCTGGTTGACCTGTTGCCACGACCGCGAGGGCCGTCCCGTTGACCACCCCGTACCGTCCGAGCTAAACCACACTCTTCGAAAATCAATCAACAAACCTGTGCACCATTCAACAGAAATGAAATTATTCACACAAAGCCCGGACTGCCACAACGGCGCAGGTGAAAACTACCTCAGTTGGCATCTCACCTCCATTGAAAAACTGTTGGCTAGTAATTGAACTATGTATCAAGCAGCAAGGTAATGCTTGCGCAGCCCACACGACTATTCAATTGGAAAATCCTTACCACATAGCCCGCAGCTGCATGTACATTTCACCCACCCATCCTACCCTTTACTGCCATTTCTCTCTACGCTCCCTCTGCAGCGAGTTTCCACCGTCCCCAATCACAACGCGCAAATTGCATTAGGCACTGGGACTTTCCCTCCATCTCTCTATGCTCCCCCTCAACGGCATTACTGTCCTCCTAAGACCCAATTTGCGAATCGTAACTTCCAAGTTCCACCCATCCTGTCTTTCCCCGCTGGACTCCATGCTTCCGTCAATCAAGAGGCTTTGTTCATCAATCCTAACGTGCAAGTTTGCGGCGGCTGAACTACTGTGCAGCAGACGGCCCATAAAGCTGTTCGACTGTGAGCTCTGTATCACATCGCCTCCACTTACAGGATATAAATCCAACCATCCCTCCCACTTTTTAGCGCTCTCCCCACTCTAGGTTTCTTTCAAATTCACCTGTCCCTCTCCGTCTGTGTACTCCTCAAATCAAGATGATCATTGCGCCTGGATCAAATTTCTCAACCACAGATTCACTCAGAGAATAAGGCTCTGGGTGCCCCGCTGGTACGAGGTCTTTCTGGTCACAATCTCACTGGACTGGATCAAATATTACTCTCTGTTTCCGACTCCGAATTCCAATGCGACGGGTGAATGCGCGAAGCACAATGCAATGAATTCACCGTGCTCAATTGAATCCTTCTGACCCTCCGTCAAATTTGTTCCCAATCTGGAGCAGTGGATCATCATTCCATTTATCCCCTCTGTACAAAAATTCGTTGGGTGCAAATCTTAAAGTTAATTCGGTTTCCCACGGCCGAGAGAACGAGCGCCGGGGAAGCGGAGGAATTGTCTTGCCTACTGTATATATTTGTTCTTTCACTCACTGGTTGTATGCATCGTCCTGTGATATCCTGAGTGTATTTACTGGTGGAGCAAATCTGCATTTTGCCCACACTGCCCATATTGACACCTTTCCTCTCACTGATCAAATTTTCAGGTTGACTTTTGATGCCTTTGATGTTTTGGCCCACGAAGGCAATTGACCAAAAAATATCCTCTCTGCAGCTTCTCATACCTCAACATCTGAGGCTACCGAGACTAAGCCACCAGCAGTTATAGCGCTAGCACTGATCCACATCACTGTCATTCAAGTTGCACAACTTACTCGACCGGAACAGTTTTATGGGTGTGAAGTATCAATAATTGATTCTCTGTCAGTCTCTGCAGAGTAATTATTACCGTACTTCCCAGAGATGGAGGGCTTTATTTGAACTTTTCCCACATCTGCTGAACATCTTGATCTTCCACATCTCTACGCCCTCGCTGCTCTCATTACAAACCTTCGATCTCAAGCTGTCAGGAAGCCCCCCGCTCACAACTCAATGGCAAGCTCCATCGAGATCAAGATTCGGTTGAGTCCAGAAAAAGCTGATGCCTCATCACCGGATCAAATGCACGGAGTTCGCATGATCAAGTTCATTGTAACGGGTTGTTCCACGGATAACGAGATTCAGTGGGTGTACAACTAGACTGAGGTCTGTCCAGTCATTATGTTCCAAGTGACTTATTATTATTACTGAGTGCGCACTCGGTATTAGCCATTAATCTGACTCCTGCCGCCTGGCAGGCAAGGAAGGAGTGAATGGTGGGGCGCAATTGCTGCGGCCGTAATGCAATGGTATGTATACACGGCCAGAGCATATGTGTATATGCTGTCATGCGGGATTACTGAGAGTACGCGTGGCCGTATCGGCATATCCATATATATTGTTGTGCCGAATTAACGCGCGGCTTTCTGCGCCCTTAAAAATGACGCCTCAATGGACCCCAACCTAGGTTCAGTACACTCAAATTTTGTGGCATGAACATTGTTGGAAACCTGCAACAAAGGACAGTGAAAAGGCCAATACTGAGGAAAACGGCAGTAAAAGTACCCCAAAAAAGAAAGCCGGACTTGATGGCGATGGAGGAACTGAATGGCGGCCTTGATAGCGATGGAGGGAGTGAATTGCAGTCGAGATGTTGAGATGGATGGATGGTGAAATAAAAAACATCTACGTCATGCAAAAAACCAAACTTTCTGCGGTGTGTTGAGGAATCAAAGAACGAGTCTAAAAAAAGAATTTTTAGGACTCGTAATAGTGGGAGCGGAGATGTTACATGTTTCTAACTAGTGAAAACTAAGAATGAAAAGGTGAGGGTGGGTTGCTAGAGATAAATGGGATGCGACGAGTGAGAGGCGCAAGACAAGAACGAGGAGTGAAGAACTCCTTGCGCCCGGCGCAGTTCTTATAGCGCCTAGTTTTCGATCGATCCAGGGGAGACAGCCCAGCTGTTCCAAAGTACCGCTGGCCAGGAGTGGCACAGGGTGCAACCAGTCCCGTGTTTTGTGAGCGACGACCCGGTCGACGACGTCAGGAGGCGCGAGGAAAAGGAGGGGAAAAAATTACATTCATAGCATGCACCATCAGACTAAAGTAAAACAAGTCCTAAACCCGATTATTTCAAATCGATAGGGGGGGTGACACGTGACAGCTTCAACCATTTCGACATTTCGGCGGGGGCTGCGTGACACCTCGAAAATTTCGGCAGTTGAACCGAAAATTGTGTCTCAATGCACACGGGGCATCTGTATCCTTTCGGTCTCCCCAAGGTCCTTGTTCGAATCAAGGTGCTGCTCTTCCACACAGCCTCCACAACTTTTTCTCCAAGCCCAAGCCACGAGAACGGTGTCTTCTCCTTCCTTCTTTATAAATTCCATTCCCATGATGTTCAACCTTGGAATTCTTTTTGCCCCCTCCATGATTTTTGAGCACTCACATCTTACAAAGGAGAAATCAAGTGGAGGAAAGCGGTATGGTGTATCGTTACACACGGGGTATCTGTGATTGATTTCGGTGTTGAACCCTTACTTGCCGACGTGTCTCGCGGTTCCCGACCTGATTCGGAAACTTCCCGGCCCGACTCTTGCTTCCTTCGGACCAGTCGCCTGGACCCCATCCAGATCTCCTGGACCTGACCATAACAGTTTACTTCCAAGCACCCCAACCTCACTGCCATCATAACTAGGCAAGAAAAGCAGGATGGTGTACGGGAGCACACGGGTCATCTGTGATCCATTGGATGTCATGCACTACACCTCGTGGTTCTTGTTGGAGTCAAGGTTCTGCTCTTCCCTGTCTGCACTTTCATTTTTGGTGTTCTAATCTCCAGCACCCCGCCTCCCTCAAAACTAGCCAAAGAAAGCAGTATGGTGTATTGAAGCACATGGGGTTTTACTAAAAGCCAAATGCAACACCTAGCCCCGAGGTCCTTGTTCGAACCAAGGTGCTGCTCTTAGCCTTTCACCGCCAATTTTGCCTTTCTTTTCGTTGCACAAGTGTTCGAAGTCAAGCATTCCAGTTCAGAAAGAGTTGGAGAAAGCAACATGGTGTATTGAAGCACGTGGGGTCAATTTCACCCCGAGGTCCTTGTAAGGTGCTGCTCTTCCCCCCGTTCCGGTCTATTTGTTTCATCTTTTTCCTGCTTCTTGTTTTACCTAATTTCCAGCACCTCGGGGCCTTCAAGGCTAGTGCAAGAAGGCAGTATGGTGTATCAAAGCACACGGGGCATCTGTGATTAGTTCCGGGATGAATATTGAACTCCGAGGTCCTTGTTCAAATCAAGGTGCTGCCCTCAGCTGTAGGATTCACTCTTTTTTCGCTGAGTGTTTACTTTTGGGCACCTCACCACCCTCAGAACTAGCCCTGGAAAGCAGCATGGTGTATTAATGCACACGGGGTTTCACTGGACCAAAAAGCAGGACTTAGCCCCGAGGTCCTGGTTCGAACCAAGGTGCTGCTCTGCGGTTAGTTTTCAAATCCTTTTCCCTTTCTTTCCCTGAGTGTTCTAATTTTTGAGCACCCCACGGCCTTCGAGACTAGTGCAGGGAAGTAGTATGGTGTAGCGAAGCACACGGGGCTTCACTGTGTCGTTACCCACAAAGTTTCACCCCGAGGCCTTTGTTTGAACCAAGGTGCTGCTCTGTGTCTTTGGCGGTGAATCTCTTTTTGGCTGGTGTTCTGATTTCGAGCACCTCCCTCCACTCATAAATACTCAGGGGAAGCAATATGGTGTATCGATGCACACGGGGTCAATATAACAGCAAAGTTCCGTTTCGCCCTGAGGTCCTTGTTCGAACGAAGGTGCTGCTCTTCCCGCCGTTCCGGTCGTTTTGTTTCATCTCTTTCCTGCTTCTTTTGTTTTGCCTAATTTCCAGCACCTCATGGCCTCCAAGGCTAGTGAAGGAAAGCAGTATGGTGTATTGATGCACACGGGGTTTCACTGGATCACAACCCAAGATCCTGGTTCGAGTCCAGGTGCTGCTCTTCAGGGCAAAAGTGAGCAATCTCTTTTTTGGCCAGTGTTCTCATTTTAGCACCATATGAAGAAGTGATGAGGTCAAGGAAAGCAGCATGGTGTATCGATATCAAGGTGCTGCTCTTCCACAGCGGTGAATTTCTTTTTTGGTGAGCTTTCCAATTTCCAGCGCCCCACGGCCTTCGAGACTAGTCCAGGAAAGCAGCATAGTGTATTGATGCACGCAAGTTTCTTCAACTGGACTGAACCCCGAGGTCTTTGTTCAAATCAAGGTACTGCACTTATTCCTTGAAAAAGATCTTTCTTTCTCATTTTGCATTCTTTTTTGAGCACCTGACTCCACTCATAACTAACCAAGCCAAGCAGTATGACGTATGGAAGCCCACGGGGTTTATATGATTCATCCTCTCGTGTTGAACCCTGAGGTCCCTGTTCAAGGTGCTACTCTGCGTTGTGGTTGTCAATTTCTTTTTTTGGCTGGTGTTCTAATTTCCAGCACCTCGCCGCCATTAAAACTAGGCAAGGAAAGCAGTATGGTGTATTGATGCACACGGGGTATCTGCATCAGTGGTACTTGAATACAAACCCCCGAGGTCCTTGTTCGAATCAAGCTGCTGCTTTGTGCTCCAATGGTAGATCTTTTTCCCTTTCTTTTTGCTGAGTATTTTACTTTTGAGCACCCCACCTCCCTCAAAATTAGTTCAGGAAAGCAGTATGATGTATTGAAGCATCCGAGGTATTTGTGATCCACTCAATCTCGTGAATTGAACTTTGAGGTCTTTGTTCGAATCAAGGTGCTGCTCTCCGCCTTTCACATGTCTTTTTTTTTTACCTTTCTCTTTGTTGCACAAGTGTTCCACGTCAAGCACCCCACTGAGATCGGAAAGAGTTGGAGAAAGCAGTATGGTGTATGCATGCACACGGGATATCTATCCGTAGGTTGAACCCCGAGGTCCTTGTTCGACTCAAGGTGCTACTCTCCGCCTGTCATGCATCCAATTCTTGTCCTTCTTTTTGTTGCACAAGCGGTCCACATCAAGCATCCCACTGAGTTCGGAAAGAGTTAGAGAAAGTAGTATGGTGTATCCATGCACACGGGATATCTGTAAGGTCCTCTATCCGCAGTTCGAATCCCGAAGTCCTTGTTTGAACTAAGGTACAGCCCTTCTCCTTCCGTTGGATACCTTTTATTTTTCTGCTCAGCCTTCCAGTTTCCAGCACCCCAAGGCGCTCAAAACTAGCCACAGAAAGCAGTATGGTGTAGTGATGCACACGGGGTATCTGTGATCCATCCGATCTCATACATTGATCCCCGAGGTCCTTGTTCAAATCAGGGTGCTGCCCTTCCCCTTCCGTAGGAGTCTTTTATTCTTCCTACTTAGCCTTCCAATTTCAAGTACCTCACCGCCATTATAACTAGGCAAGGAAAGCAGTATGGTGTACAGTCGCTAACCGGGAAACGCAACATTTAGTTTGCGCCGCCTATATCTCGTCCATTTCTGGACCAAATTACGCGCGCCAAAGGCCTAAGTGACTCATAAGGTTGTGAATTCCAACCTTCAATTTACTTCTCGGGGTTTGAGCACTTGACGGACCCATACAGCGTCGATCTTTCCAGGAGGCCAAATTTGGCCAAATAACGTGGAAGCGCAACAAGTTATGGTCAATAGTTGAGGCCAATGCAGTCCATATTTTCAGCCAAGAAAATTCATGAGCATTATCACTAACCCCAAAAACATCTTTACGCACTCAGAGTTGTATATTTCTGGCTTCTAGCACTCGGGCGCCATCGCCGCAATTAGTGCTTGTCAGATAGTCAGTTTTACATGGCTCGTTATGGAGCTATACTTGGGTTGCTTGGCTAGATATCTTTTATGCCATGTGGTAAAATGCCCTACTACATCCTCAGGAGTTTTCAGCCCAGCGGTACCACCAGATGGTGTCAAAGAACTTGAAAAACCTTGAAATTTGACCATTTTCCCCGTATTTGCTCAATAAAACTCGTATTTCTGGGTTGTCGTAAATGTTTTGACCCTCGGGATGTGTCCTATCGTGCTCAGCGACCTCGAAAACAGGGGTATACGGTCCGAGGACGGTCCAGCGGTGCTTGTAAGCTGTTTGTTTGGCGATGTTGCGCTACGTGGTGTTGTTGCGCTTCCCGGTTAACGACTGTATTGATGCACATGGGGTATCTGTAAGGTCCTCTATATTCATAGTTTGAACCCCGAAGTCCTTGTTCGAATCAAGGTGCTGCTCTTTCTTCGTTACCGGTATCTCCATTTTTGGCTGGTGTTCTAATTCTGGGGCACCCTACGAAGAAGTAAGCAGGTCAAGGAAAGCAATATGGTGTATAGAGGCACACGGGGCATCTGTATCATTGGTACTTGAATATAAACCCCCGAAGTCCTTGTTCGAATCAAGGTGCTGCTCTTTGCTATCGGCGCTTTCTTTTTTTGGCCAGTGTTCTAATCTCCAGCACCCCACCGCCATTATAACTAGGCAAAGAAAGCAGTATGGTGTATCGATGCACACGGGGTCACTATCGAAGTGGAGCCAGGAACCTTCACCCCGAGGTCCTTGTTCGAATCAAGGTGCTGCTCTTCCACATCTTAGCGTCCACAACTTTTTTCTCCCCCCGGCGTCGAATTCCCAAACCCCACCATGCGGCCAAGCCACGAGAATCGAGTCTTGTCCCTGTTTTAATGCCCCTGTTTCAACTCCACCATCCCATAATGTTCAGTCTTGAAATTCTTTTTGCCCCCTCCTTGATTTGAGTATTAGCTGCTCACCTCACCAACAAGAAATCAAGTGGAGGGAAGCAGTATGGTGTATTGCTGCACACGGGGTATTTGTGGTCCATTTCATCCCATGCATTGAACCCCGAGGTCCTGGTTCGAATCCAGGTGCCGCTCTTCGTGTGTCAGGGATTTTCTTTTTCTGCCACATTCAAATCTCGAGTACTGCATCGCCTTCAAAACTAGTCAAGAAACGCAGTATGGTGTATTGATGCATGCGGGGTATCTGTGCCAGGTCAATGATGGTAAATCCTGAGGGAATCAAGGTGCTGCTCTTCGCTGCTGGTAAGTTTGTTTTTGGCTGCCGTTCTAATTTCCGGCACCTCATCAAGGACCAACGAGGTGAAGAAAGCAGTATGGTGTATGGTGCATGGTTACACACGGGGTTAATATCCAAGCACAATAAAGAATACACCCCGAGGTCCTTGTTCGATTCAAGGTGCTCTTCTACGTGGCCTCTACAACTTTTTTCTCACACTCCCACCGGCCTCGAATCCTTGAGCCCACCACACCTCAGCAAGTCCAGGCCACGAGAACGGTGTCTTCTTCTTCCTTTTTTATAAATTCCATTCCCATGATGTTCAACCTTCTCTTGTCTTTCATTGGCTCCTCCATCATTTTTGAGCATTAGCACCTTACCAAGGAGAAATCAAGTAGAGGAAAACAGTATGGTGTATTGCTGCACACGGGATATCTGTGTTCCTTTCGGTCTCCTGCATTGAACCCCGAGGTCCTTGTTCGATTCAAGGGTGCTGCTTTAATAGCCATTCCTCCATTTTTTTTGTTGACTTGCCACGGTGCCCCCATTTCCATCCTCACTGTGCTCTAAGGATGCACTAGGGTGGGCATTAGCTGCTACCGTTACCAAAGAGAAATTAAGGGGAGGAAAGCGGTATGGTGTATTCTTGCACGCGGGGTATCAGTGATCCACTCGATCTCCTGCATTGAACCCCGAGCCTTGTTCGATTAAAGGTGCTGCTTTAGTTGCCTTTACCCCTCTTTATTTTTGTTGACTTGCCATGCTGCCCTATTTCCATCCTCCCACCCCACCTTAGCAAGCGCAACCCACGAAAATCCCATTCCCATGATGTTCAACATTCAAATTCTCATCTTGTCTTCAAGTTCATTGGCCTCCTCCGTGATTTCGAGCATTAGCACCTTACCAAGGGGAAATCAAGTAGAGGAAAGCAGTATGGTGTATGGAAGCACACGGGTATCTGTTGGGCCGGAATCAGTTTCTCATCAGCCCCGAGGCCTTTGTTCGGCTCAAGGTGCTGCTTTAAAGTGCTTTAATCGTTGTTGTAAACTTTTTTTTTTTTGTTGCTGACCTGCCACGGTGCTCCGATTTCCATCCTCGCTCGCAGTGATACAAGGATGTACTAACCTTAGTGACTCCGGAGGTCCGAGTTAAGTTTCTGTACAGGTTCGTGTTTTCTGCTTGAAATCAACACATCTGTTGGCCACGGAAAGCAGTATGGTGGATGGATGCACATAGGGCATTTGTGATCCTTTCGGTCTCCTGCACTGAACCCCGTCGGCACTGATCGGCCCCTGCCAGAAAATTCAACTTCCGGCCAAGCCCCTTGGCGTGGACCGAGAAGTACCAGCCTGCCTACGGCAACGTGTTTACACTTCCATGATGGCAGGCTGGTTACGAGCCTAGGTGCTTGCTCTCTGTTGTCGGCACTTTCATTTTTGGCTGGTGTTCAATCTTGGAGCATGCTAGAAAAAAAATAAGCAGGTCAAGGAAAGCAGTATGGTGTATTGATGCACACGGGGTCAACATAACGATAAAATTAATTTTCACCCCGAAGTCCCTGTTCGAATCAAGGTGCTGCTCTAGCCGAGTTATTACAACAATTTTTGTGAGCTTCCTAAGCTTCTTTTTTGTCCCGCACCCCACAAAAGTCCAAACAGATCCAGGAAAGCAGTATGGTGTATGCATGCACACGGGGTACCTGTAAAGTCTTCCATCTGCAGGTTGAACCCGAGGTCCTTGTTCGAATCAAGGTGCTGCTCCCGCCTGTCATGCATCCAATTCTTGTCCTTCTTTTTGTTGCACAAGCGGTCCACATCAAGCATCCCACTGACTTCAGAAGGAGTTAGAGAAAGCAGTATGGTGTATTGATGCACACGGGGTATCTGTAAGGTCCTCTATGCGTAGGTTGAACCCCGAGGTCCTTGTTCGAATCAAGGTGCTGCTCTCCACCTTTCACGTGTCCAATCTTTTTTGCCTTTCTCTTTGTTGCACAAGCATTCCAGGCCATGCACCCCACTGACTTCAGAAAGAGTTAGAGAAAACAGTATGGTGTAGTGATGCACACGGGATATCTGTAAGGTCCTCTATGCGTAGGTTGAACCCCGAGGTCCTTGTTCGAATCAAGGTACTGCTCTTTCTTCGTTACCGGTATCTCCATTTTTGGCTGGTGTTCTAATTCTGGGGCACCCTACGAAGAAGTAAGCAGATCAAGGAAAGCAGTATGGTGTAGTGATGCACACGGGATATCTGTCAGGTCTTCACTCTCTTGGTGGAACCCCGAGGTCCTTGTTCGAATCAGGGTGCTGCTCTTCGCTATCGGCGCTTTCTTTTTTTGGCCAGTGTTCTAATTTCCAGCACCCCACCGCCATTATAACTAGGCAAGGAACGGCAGCATGGTGTATCGAAGCACACGGGGTCACTATGAAAGCATATGCGAGGACTTTCACCCCGAGGTCCTTGTTCGAGCCAAGGTGCTGCTCTGGGCTATAGTTGTCAAGTCTTTTTTTCCCTGGTCTTTTGCTGAGTGTTCTGATTTTGAGCACCCTAAAGCCTTCAAGACTAGTGCAGGAAGGCAGTATGCTGCATCAACGCACACGGGCCCGACACAAGAGGAAGATTGAGAACTTTCTCCGAGGTCCTGGTTCGAATCCATGTGCTCCAATGGTAGATCTTTTTCCCTTTCTTTTTGCTGAGTATTTTACTTCTGAGCACCTCTCCGCCATCATAACTAAGCAAAGAAATCAGTATGGTGTATCGATGCACACGGGGTCACTATAAAGGCATAGGCGAGAACTTTCACCCCGAGGTCCTTGTTCGAGTCAAGGTGCTGCTCTTCCATGTGGCGTCCACAACTTTTTTCCCCCACCGGGCTCGAATCATTGAAACTCCCGACGCCTCAGGGAGTTCAAGCCATGAGAATGGTGTCTTCAAGTTGTTCATGTGTAAAAATCCCATTCCTATGATGTTCAACCTTGAAGTTTTCTTCTCGTCTTCAAATTCATTGCCGCCTCCTTGATTTTTGAGGATTAGCTGCTAACCTCACCAAGGAGGAATTAGGTAGACGAAAACAGTATGGTGTATTGCTGCATGCGGGGTATCTGTTTGTCATTGATTTACGCATTAACCCCGAGGCCCTTGTTCGATTCAAGGTGCTGCTTTATCGGCGACTTGTCCCAAACTTGTCCCCTCTTTTTTTTTTTGTTGACTTGCCACGGTGGCCCCATTCCTATCCTCGCTCGCAAGTGATACAAGGATGCACCAACGTCACCAACTATGGAGTCTGAGTTGATGTTCTGCCCAGGTTCGGCGTTTTCCGCTTGAAATCAATCAAGGGGAACTCGGGATTAAAATATCGGAAGGGGGGAGGGGGGGGGGGGGGGGGTCTGGCCGAGGCTGAAAAAAACTTCTTACTGTAACTTATGGGAGGGGAGAAAAGGGCTGGGAGAGGCATTATAGAGCTTCTGGGAGGTAAGAAACGTCGAATTCTGCTTCCTATTTGCTTCACGACATGTCAAAACAATATTTCCACCCTAGTTTAACCAAAAGGTGTCTTGAAGTGGTCTTGGAGTGGGATTTGACGAAATTCTGGAGGTCTCCTTGAGGTCATAGCAGCATTTTGGATAGGTTCTAGGATCATGGCATGTATTTTGAACAATAAAATCAAGTGGTAGTCGGGCCTGAACTAGATCCACTAGGTGGGGGGAACTCCGGGGGGAGCGGCCCGGCGCCAGGGGTGGGAAACACCTTCCCGATATGGGGGGGGGGGGGGGGGGGGGGCTCCAGGACGGCCTGAAAAAAACTTATCGACCCCCCTTCCGACTTTCGAATCCCGAGTTCCCCTTGAAATCAATGCATCATTTCAACGCCGTTGAGTAACACTGAGATACCGTGAAATTTCTCGGACCTGTGGACATTCTACCTCACACATCGATAACATTCCTCCGTGCCCTGCTCAGCCGATTCATTCTGAACTAAGGCCAAAAGATGACCCTGGCATTTGCCGCACGGTAGTGACGCACGTGACGCATGACGCATCGCTTACACCCGCACCAGCCCCGCCGCCAAGCCTTCCTTCTCACACCAAACCACGACCACATCCACCACTCACCCACTCTCTCACCGTCCACCGACCTACACAACACACACCACCAAAACCATGTTCACCAACTCCCGCCTCCTCCTCCGCGTGCAGTCCCGCGCCGCCCGCCGCCTACCGACGGCCGCCAGCACATCGCGGTATAGCCTGGGCCTGCGGTCCCACACGACGGACTCGTACGGGAAGGACGTCGATTCGAGCCCCGCCGCCGACTCGAAGATCCACCGCGTCGACCCCTCGAGCGAGAACGTGCAGAAGCCGCATGAGGTGCGCGCAGCGCTTCTCTCTAATAAATACAGTAAAAACGCCAGGAAAGCTGACGCACGTGTACGGTGTAGCCGCCCTCAGGCCAATGGAGCGCCACGGGCGTCGAGGCGGGCGTGAAGAACGCGCAGGGGAAGAAGAACTCGGACACAGAGGGCGAGCGGAAGACGGGGATGAAGGAGTACGGGACGATGAGCAGCGACAAGCCGTATGGCGCGCCGGGCGCGGGGCAGCGCTATGGGGGGAAGGAGGGGTATGCGACCGAGAAGGGGGGGAATGCGGGGGAGACGAGCCAGAGTACGGAGGGGCAGGGGCCGGCGGGGAGTGAGAGTGGGGGGAGGAAGCCGGAGGGGCGGTGAGCGACGTCGGGATTCGTTGGAGCGTGGATGAAAAACGGAGGGGAGTGCGCCGAGGTACGTGGCCGTGTATTTTAACGGGTAGTGGGGAAGGCTGACTGGGCGTTGTGTAGGCAGTCAGAAGCCGGCGAAATGATTCAAAAACGAATAATAATTGTACATATCTATTATCCCAGTGCGATCTTGCTTTTCTTGTAGTCTGCAATTGACTGTAGTCTGTGGGACGCTATTTCTGCGCTGGAATTCTGCCTGTGGTCTTCTTAGTCGGATTCTGGTTCTGTCTTCGCCGTCTCACTTGCGTTCCTTGGCTACGTCTTGACTCGTTCTTCAAAAACCGACGACATTTTACTGGCGCTAACGTTCTTTTCTTCCTTCCCTCCTGCCAGCCGCACTCGGGTCTCCTTCCGACCTGGCTCTTTCCTCATCTCCGGGTCCCGCGCGACCCCTTCCGCCCGGCTCTATCCTTTATCGTTGTCTCTTGGTTCCTCACACGTTCCTCCCACCTCGCGTCTTCCTCACCTCGCCTCCCGAATCAATAACTAACTCAATTCCACCGACGATCATGCTCACGATCTACACCCGCTGCGCGGGAGGCAATTCATTATACATATCGACCACCGCCAAAGTGCTGAAGTTTGTCTTCGTCGCTCTACCCGATACACCGACCCCGTGGAATCAAATCAAGTACAAGCAGAAGAAAAGAAATCTCGGTTCAATATAGAAAAAAAAAAAAAAAAGGAATCGAAAGGAGGTATGGACGGCCCGGGCTCGAATCGAACGAGCTTGCCTGCACCATCAACGGAATCGGCCTACGGAATGCAGGTGCGCACCACGCGCCGCCGGGCCATACTTGGTTTGAGTCTTTACTGAGACTCTTCGCAGGATCCTGTTAACGGTACTGTACATACTTGTAGGGGAGCAACAGGCCGAGGACCGTGACACTGCCGTTGCCTCTTTTTCAGGCAACAGAAGCCCCCATGAGCGTGACGGTTGCTTAAAGAGGCAACAAACAATATCTTTTGGTGAGCATCTACCTGAGTATTACAGCAGTTTAAACTTGTTTTTGGATTTCAGGTCACTAAATTGCCGGTTCCCCACTCATTTCCACTACTTTCTATTCCTTGGAAATTTCTCAAATTTTTTTACGCCATGTCACGATAATTTCAAGGCAACGAGCCTCGTCGTGACCGTGACCCGCCAGAAAAGAGGCAACGCAACGGAGGGGTCAGTGACCGTGACCGTTGCTCCCCTACAGGTATGTACAGTACTCTGGCTCTTTTTTCAGAGTCGGACAAAAGGTATCATTATCCGATCAACAAAGGCCCGGGCTCGAGTCGAACGAGCTTACCCGCATTTTATTTATCATTGTTCGCTATCATTGTTCGCAAGCGATGTTTCTACGAACCGCAGGTGCGCACCACGCGCCTCCTGGCTTTCGCACCTCTGAATTAGGTTTGGGTTAATGGCATTCCTTCGGCTTGAGCCAAGACGTGGGGAAATAAGTAGAAGAACACCCGGAAATTCTAACGCCATTGTCTCCGAGCCTGGTATGATCTTTATTGCTGAACTCTCATTCCCAATCCTGATATCCTCGAACAGAAAGAAAAAGCGTGAACGTTTAACGACAAGGCCCGGGCTTTCCGAATCGAACGAGCTTACCCGCAGTATCAACTTCCCAGCGATGCGTTTACACGGAAGGCAGGTGCGCGACATGCGCCGCTGGGCCTTCACATCCCTCTGTAATATTCTCAGTTCGACTGAGATTTCCACAGCATGTAATCTTGAACGCAATTCCCGGCGCTTGCTTCCCTCCTCAGCCCAACCCTCCTGGAAACAGAAACAACGGGAGATTCAAACGCGAGCCCTGGTATCTGCTCGCCTGCTCGCCCTTCCTATCCTAATTCCTCGAGCAGAAAAAGTAGAACCATACACCACGTACAATGAACGGCCCGGGCTCGAGTCGAACGAGCGCCCACATATTAATTTTCTTCACTAACGACAATGAACGCAGGTGCGCACCACGTGCCTCCGGGCCATACTTGGTTTGACTGAGTCCTCTGATGGATCCTGTTAACGCGACTGTAGCTACTTTTTCTTCACAGTCGGAAAAAAGGAATCCTTATCTCATGCCGCACGGCCCAAGCTCGAGTCAAACGAGCTTGCCTGCAGCATCAACGGGCTGATTGTATGCACGAAACGCAGGTGCGCACCACACGCCTCCGGGCCATTCCTGGTTCGCCTGAAAGTCGTCGCAGGTGGATTGCATTAGTCCGCTTGGTCAATCCGACTCAAATATCGTCTCGGGATAAGTAGGTGTGTTGCTTTGCGTCTTGATTCTGGATCCAGACTGGCGTCCGGGTATTTTGGTCGTGGGCTGCGGCTGCCGCGCTATAGTTCAAGAAATAGAAGCCCGAAAATTCGAACGAGACCGCCAAGTTCAGCGTGGTTGGTTGCAAGATATTTCTTCGGGGCAAAAAGGATTCGACTTCAGTCTTTTTGCACCACGGCCCGGGCTCGAGTCGAACGAGCTCACTCGCAATATCAAGTTGGCGACGAATATACGAAACGCAGGTGCGCACCACGCGCCGCCGGGCCTTCATATCTCTGAATTATTTTCTAAGTTGACTGAGAATTCCATCCTTGCGTGAGGCGCGTAGAATGTGGTGCTTGAAATTGCTTCCCTCCTCCTTGAAGAAACAGAAACAGCCGCAGATTCCCCACCATAAGGCCTGAGTGCTACCTTTGGGTGACAGATTGTTGGCTC